TAGAGCGTGGCCTCAGTTGCCACATGGCACGTGTGATCCTCCTGAACCAGGGATCGAACCTGTGTCTCCTGCACTGGTATGAAGATCCTCAACCACTGGGCCACCAGGGAAGTCGCGCTGGTTTATTTTAGAGTCAGCCTGGTGCTGCAAACACCACTGGCCTCATGGGCTCTGAGTGGGCATGTGGCCATGGCAAGTGGCGGAGTCGCTGCTGGAGCAGTGGTGAGTGACAGGACCCAGTGGGTGCCGTGGAAACGCTGGCCCACGCCTTCCCACGGGACAGGAGGCACAGCTGGAGCCAGCAGCCCCTCCGGCGCTGTCATACCAGAAGGCCTGGGTGTGGAGGTGACGCCCAGACCAGGGCTCTGAGCCCCCCGCCTCTCTGTGGCTCCCCCGCAACTCCCACTTGGACAAAGGTGGATAACAGGGGCTGCACCCTCCCCAGGCCCTTCCGGCCCAGAGTGGGGGGCCAGCCTCCCCAAATCCAGGCTCTGGGGTGGGGCGGCATTGCAGGGGGCAGATCGCCCTTTCCCATGACGATACCTTTATAGACACCGAGACACTCACACACACAGCGCTGACAGCCCACGGGGTCGGAGGAGTCGAGACGACTGAGCGACTGAGCCTGGCGTGGGGTTGACTGTGCTGTGTGTGCACGCTCAGTCTCGCCTCTGTGTGACCCCATGGGGAGTGGCCCGCCAGGCTCCTCTGTCCACGGGATTTCCCAGGCAAGAATACTGGAGTGGGTGGTCATTTCTGTCTCTAGAACATTAATATGTGGCTTCTGACACATGAAAGACTTTGGAAAATTGAGGGATGTTGCTACAGCAAAACATTCCCATCTCTATTTAGGTGATGTTTTACCAGTTCTTGTATCAATGAAGATGAAAAATAGGAAAGAGTGCCACTCTGAATACTGTCTCGTTTTGGCCCTAAGTAGTGTTCTCCCATGAAGACAGATGGCTTGTTATTAATGCATTTCCAAGTCAGTTTTACTTCCATGTTGTTATGCAAATTTGCAATGTCTGAGTATTGTGTTGAGTATGTAGCTAATAATCCTGAGAACACAGGGGAAGCTCTGGTTCCCAGGTTCGGGTTCACAGTCTCACAGTTTAGGACAGATGACCCCCTCGATGCACTGCAGATACAGTAAGTCCCGTATATGTGAGCCTCCAAGTTGTGACCTTCCAAAGGTGTGAGCTCATGCTCACATGTGCAGTCCCGCTGGCTCACGCGTCTGGTGTGCACTGTCACCGAGCGCATCCTCTGCGAGCGTTGCGCTTCTGTGCACTTTACTGGGCAGTGCTGTAGAGAGTGCAGAGGTGCAGTGTCTTTATTTCACGGCCAGGATATCTGGAAGCAGGTGCAAAAACAGTGGTAATGTAGCTAGTACCGCTCAGAAGTGCCAAGAAACAATGATGGAAACAAAAGTGAAAATAACAGAGAGCAGAGTGAGGTGAAAAGACGGTCGACGTCACTCAGTCTCAAAACATGAACCGTTCAGCCGTCGGCGCGCTCCTAGAGAGCAAGGACAAGGTGGTGGGACGTGCCGGTCCGCTGTGCAGAGGATGTTGGCCAGAACATTGCAGAGGCGTGGGGAAGTGACGGAGGAGACGGAGAACCTTCTCAGCATGTGGCTGCAGGACCAGCACGAGCGCCTAGCCCCACTCAGCTTAATGCTGACTGAAGAGAGCTGAAAGCCTGTATGAAGACCTGAAGAAGACCCACAAGGGAGAATCAGAGGCTGTGTCCTTTAATGCCAGCCATGACTGATTTCACGGGTTCAAGGCTAGAGCCAGCGTCAGCCTTCACGACATAAAAGTGGGTGCTGAGGCAGTGGATGAGATGGTAGCTGCTGGGAATTTCCTGACATGCTTCAAGAAATTATTGATGAAGGGGAGTATTTACCAGAGCAGGTTTTTACACTGGATGGGACAGGACTGTACCGGAAGAGGACGCTAGGCTGAAGTTACATTGGTAAGGAGGAAAAGCTGATGCCAGGCTATAAAGGAGCAAAGGACAGGCTGACTCCGCGGTTTGGTGGCAATGCTTCTGGTAAGGTGAAGCTGAAACCTCTCTTAATTTACCACTCAGAGAGCCCTCGAGCCCTGAAAAACAGCCAAGGGCTCTCTTCCTGTTATGTGGAAAAGTAACCCCAAAGCCTGGTTACAGCCCGTTTTCCAGGACTGGTTTTCCCACTGTGTCCCAGAGGCAGAGACATGCTGTGTGGAGAAGGACGTTCCATTCAACATTCAAAGCTTGAGTGCCCCGGGCCACCCCCTGCTCGTAGATGATTTTCATCCCAATGTTGAAGTAGTGCATGTCACTCATCCAACCTATGGACCAAGTAGAGTTTTATTGACTTTCAGGAAGTATTACTTATGTCACACTTTCCATCAGGAAGTAAAGGCACTGACCAATCAGGAACAACCTGTGACAGTTTGGGAAGGCCTACACCATCTACAAGGCCGTAAAAAACACTGACTCTGCTTGGCGTGAGGTTACAGCCATTACCATGAATGGGGTTTGGAAGAACCTTTGTCCATAATTCACGATTCTTGAGGGTTTGAGAAGGTGGATGGGAAGCCCAAAGAGACCTTCAGCAACTCAGTGGCCCTCAGAGACGCCGGAGCGGATCTGCAGGAGGATGACTTCCCTCCACTCCTTGCTGTGCAACATGGGGGCCTCACTAATGAAGCCCTGAGGGAACTGAGGAGAGAGAGAGAGGAGGGGGAGAGCCAGGAGGAAGAGGGCCTGAAGGACCGGAGAGTCAGCCTACAGGAGACGGCAGAGGGTGCTCTCTGCTGCAGGAGTCGCTGTTCTCGTCTGTAGCAGCCGTTCAGAGTGCAGTCCAGGGCTACTGTGCCATCTGTGACGACAGAAAAAGAGCTACAACCCAGACATCGCCGGATCCTCTTTTCGAGACGACAGAACTGGATCCAGCATGGAACCAGGCCCGAGCCAGCGACATCAGACGTGGGTGAGGCCGCGCCTTGTCTCTGGTGGCTGACTCCTTCAGCTCAGCCTCTCTCCCCTCTTCTTCCTCCTCAGCGGAAGCTCTTCTTGCCTGTTCATGCGACACCAGTCCCTGTATGCTAGCTGTCGCGCTGTTTTTTATATACTATTTGTATGAAAAGTATTATAAACCTATTACAATACAGTACTACGTAGTCAATTGTGTTAGCTGGATACCTATGCAAACATCGTTGGACTTGTGAACAGCTCTCAGAACGGAGCTTGCCCATACGCAGGGACTGACTGCACTTGTCTGGAGCAGCAGAGGATGCTGGGCAGGCCAGGCCAGGCCGAGTCCCGCTGCAGTAACCACACCCGTCTCAACACACCACACAGCAGAGGGCCGCTTCACCCTGAACGTGGGTGGCAGGTGGGCTGGGAGCTCTGCCCTGGTCAGCACCCCTCACTCTGGCAAGAGGCAGCCCCGGCCAGGGCCGGGGCACAGGCGTCTCCGGAGGGAGTGGAGCCGTGGGCTGCTGCACTTTGTTGGCAGAGGGCTTGGCCCCAGCCCACAGTGCGCCTGGGAGGAGCAGACCCTTTGTGATGGCCTCGACCGTCAACTGAGCCCCTCCTGCTCTGGGGTGCGGTTCTGTGGAGGGAAGAGTGGCACGATGCGGCCAGCTGCAAAGGGGCAGCTGGTCGGGGTCCTCGTCAAGTGGACAGAGGGGAGCGGCAAATCAACGGCTTTTTGATTCTGTTGGAGACACTGCAAAGGCTGCCATGAAAAGGTACCATTTACAACGTGCTGGGGATGGGCAGCCTTTCACATTAGTTTCTGGCTGCCCTGGGCCTTCAGGGCTGTGCATGGGCATCTCTCCAGCTGCGGTGAGCGAGGGCTGCGCTCTGGTCATGGCGCTCGGGCTTCTCACTGCAGCGGCTCCTCGTGGGGAGCGCGAGCTCTGGGGCTTGTGGGCTCAGGAGCCTGGGCTTGACGGCTGTGCGCAGGCCTCAGCTGCATCTCAGCACGTGCAGTCTTCCCAGGTCGGGGATCAAACCCACGTCTCCTGCATTGGCAGGTGGATTCTTACCCACTGAGCCACCAGTGGGGCCCCAGTGGGTGCCGGGCTGGGCCCCCAGGACCTCAACTTCCCCACCTGTGAGCTGGGATGAGGGCACTTCCTGTGCTCACAGCTGTCAACAAGGGACAAGGCCCTCGGACTGGGGCTGGCAGCAGCCGTCACAGGGTATGTGCACTAGGGTCCTGGGACGGCCGTGGGAACTTGGTGTGGACAGTCCCTGCCTTGTCCCTCCTGCCACATACTCCACATTCCACCTTTGCAGGATTCACGGGAAGGTCTCCGTGGCCCTGCCTAGCTGCACCAGGAAGTGGGTGTGCAGGATGCTTGAGCCCCGTGCCCGACCAGTCTGCCTTCGGGCAGAGCCGCTGGGTTTCCCACAGCCGGCACACGACGGGGAAGTGGCTCAAGGGCCTGGAGGACCTGTGAAAGCCTGGCCATCCCCCAGCACCTACACATCTGAGGCGGATGCCTCGCAGGTATCCCACTGAGCGTTTGTTTTGGTGACAGCTGCAGGACTGCCCCGGGGCGGGGGCAGGCAGGTGTGGAGCTGCCCACAGGGAGCAGGTGTCAGACCAGGGGCCCCAGGCCCGCAGCCAAGGCTGGCGTCCAGGCAGGCTGCATCCAGACAGCGCCCCTCGGGGGGTGGAGCTGGCCTCTGGCCGCCCCTTCTCAACAGGGCTCTGCTGGGCCAGGGAGCGGAGGCCACACACCCAGCCATGGCTGCAGACGTGGAGAGGCAGGGGCCAGTGGGGGGGCTTCCCGTGGGGGCTCAGGCACCCACAGGACCACTGTGGCGGGGCTGGCGACCGCCCTGCTTCCCCAGGTGGCTTTACAAGGGGCACTGAAATTTCTTATGAAGCTGTGCGAGGGCAAGGGACGCAGACTGGAAATGTCACCCCAGGACCAGATGGAGGGTGGCCGCTGAGCCCGGGGGCAGGCCGGCGTCCGTCCGCCAGGAGGCGCGGCTCACTCCCGCAGCGGCTGCAGCTCGGGCGGCAGGTCGCAGCCTGTGTAGACGCCGTGGGCGATGCAGTACTCAAGCAGAGCCCCGAAGCAGGGGTCCTGTGGACACAGCAGGGAGCCGGCCGGCTCTCCCAGCCGCCCCGCGCCCAGGCCCCACGCCCCGCGCCCCGCGCCCAGGACCCACGCCCCGCGCCCAGGACCCACGCCCCGCGCCCCGCGCCCCCGGCCGCGACTCACTCTGACAAGGACGTGAGGGTTTCCCACTACGATCAGCAAGGCTTTGGGTCTGGTGATTGCAACGTTAAATCTTTTTGAGTTAGACAAGAATCCCAAAAAATATCTATCATCTTCAAATCTATCTTCATTTGACCTTACCTAAAAAACACAGATGAATAAAAACAGTATTTAAAAATTTTTGGTGTGGAAAGAAATTCAATATATAAAAGCATTTAAAAATGTTACATGTCAGCGTGTCTTCATTTTGCCATGGGAGGGGAATACGCTTCAGCTTGCTGTGTTTTCCCCAGGGGTGACCTCACGTGTGGGTTTCAAGAAACGCTGCTTCTTCTCCTGCCTGAACTCCCTAATCTACCTGCAGTTAACAGCAGTGCACTGGTCACTATGGGAATTTTTAAAAGAAGAACAGACTCCTCGGAGCCCAGCTGCCCTCTGGGCCCTCAGCTGCTTTCTGATCTTGCCTCCCTCTCCTCTCCATTCCTGGCTCCCTTCTCCAAATTTAAGCACTTCTTCCTGGGATCCTATAGTAGTTTTGTTTTCTTAAAGAACACCTTGCCAGTAAGCGCTCGAGGGGAGGCCCTGTGCAGTTCTGGAACAGGGCACCTACAGTGGAGATGATGATGACCAGGTATTCCTGCCCTTGAAACTCCTCCACGGATCCAACCTTTATATCCATCAGATCAACATTTCGCAAAAGAATCTTGATTTTCTCTACCTTTGAAAGAGATAAGATCAAAGATAAAATTTCACAAATCTGACCATTTCTTTACATATTAACAGCAAAAGCCAAACGATAACCAGTGAGCATCAGGGCCTTTCAACTCCTAATCACAATCTTTTAAGTTTCACAATCTCTAAATTGCTCACGGAAGATGCCCTGATCTCAGATGGTGCGCCAGTGGGTACTGCCAGGAGTGGGGTTTCACGTGAGACACGAGGGCACCTTGTGCTGCCGACAGTGGGGATGGCTCCAGGGTGCAGAGGGCCTCCTGGGGTGGGGGGAGAGGCGCTCAGGGGACCACACCCTCAGGAGCCTGAGTGGCCACCACAGGGAAGCCAGGAGGGAGAGGGCTGGGGAGACGTTCCTGCAGGTGGGGCAGGACTGGGCGGGGGCGCTGGGGGAGAGGGGTGCCGAGATCTCCAGGCGGTGCTGGCAAAGGAGAAGCAACTCTGAATTGTGAAAGGAATAGAACATGGAGAGAAGCTTGGCTCTCCAGGAGAGGAGGCTGGAGGGTGGGGACTAGGGGCCACTCTTTCCACACCCAGAGGACAGGCCTTCTCGAGGCGTGTGCCCACCCCATCTGGGGCACAGGAGCAGCAGCTGTGCAGACAGGGGGCAGTGGCAGAGAGACCAGGACCCCATGGACACGACTGTGAGGAGGATCTGGAGCCGCCCACACCTGCTTCCGGTAGGGTGTGATGACGCCAATGTCGCCAGCGGACACCTGGCTGGAGACGCTCCTGGCCAGCAGGCAGCAGTAGCGCATGACCTGCACGGCCTCGGCAGGATTGAACCACGATGGGCTGCGTCCCTCTCGAGCTTCGTTGCCCTGAGTCACCAGGAAGATAAGAGAATAGCTGGTCCATCAGAAAATGTCACTTTCTTGACAAGAGAAGTCCTAATGGTCAGAAGCCTGTGCACCACATGCAGAGAGCAGCCTCCACTTGCCACAACTAGAGAGAGCTCATTCAGAGCAACGAAGACCCAGCACAGCCTACATAAGTAAATCTTAGTAAAAAAGAGTACTTATTAAAAAGTAAGGTAACCTTTCAGCTCCGTACTTTCCACACCAAGGAGCTCCAAGGCACAGCTCCGTGGCAGGGAACCCAGTGGGCTTTAGCCTCCGTTTCCTTCTGCACGACCTTATGCATGTTGGCAAATTCCTTCTACATGGGTTTTGTCATGAATAAGCTTTTTGTGACCCTTACTCCTTCCTTCAGGATGCCCCCCTTTAACGCCCCCCTCACTGGTTTAATTCCCCACTCACTGGAAGTGCTGCAGTCCATGGGGTCACAAAGAGTCAGACACAACTTACTGACTGAACACCACGAGCAGCAGGAGGGAGCCAGCCCACCACAGGCTCTTGGGGAATGCCGGGTGACGGCTGGGTTCAACAAGACCTACGCACAGACATGCGTACACCCTCCTGCTAAGCTGGCCCGAAGCTCACCCGAAGCTCACCCGCACTCCGTGGAAGATGAGGGGGAAGCCCTTCCTGGGCAGCTTCTCCCAGCCCAGCAGGGAGGTCACCACGGCGGGGTCGGCGCACACCTCCAGCTCTCGGTGGTAGAACAGTCTGGACGGCAGGGCCAGCAGAGCCGAGTGGGACCTGTAGTTCTTCACAAGCTTCGTCACCTACGGGGGAGGTGGGGCAGGGCCGAGGCCAGAGCCCGTGGGCGCCCTGCACGCTGCCACTGGGGAGGAGGGCCCTGCACCTGCGCCCAGCTCCTCCTGCCTCAGAAGCGCTTGGGGGACCTCTGATGGGAGACAGGGCCCCTGTGGGGGCCGCGGCTGCCTCCAAGCTGCACCCTGATCCAGGCCATGGGAGCCCGGCCGTTAGAGCTGCCTGGGGAGCCTGGTCTTGGATCTGCTGCGGTGGGTGTTGCGTCTCTTGAGGCTGGCCAGGACCTTGTTGAGAGCCACCGGGGGTGGAGCACCAGGACATGAAGTAAGGAAAGCTTTGTTTCCTGCTTCAACTGTCCAGGAAGTTCATTCCTGTCTTTCCTGCTCCTGGGGTGGGAAGGCCAGAGGCCCAGGACTCTCCGGCTGACACCCTTCTACTCAGTCATCACGACAAGTCCAGCCTCCGAGACTCTTGTCAAAACCCCAAAACTCAGCAGCACGACTTCTCCCTTGGCCAGGCTGGGCCTGCTGTGCTGGCCTGGACCCCTGCCCGCCACCTCACCACCCTGTGCCCACCTGCCCGCCCTGCCCTCTGGCAGAAAGGGCCTGGAATATGGAATAGGCCCCAGGCCTTGCTCGGACCACCGCCCACGATCCCTGCACCTGCTCTTCTGTTCCAAGTCCAGAGGGGAACCTCCTCTTGCCCGTGCTCGGGGCAGTCACAGGCACAGCGCTCTGAGCTCCAGGTGCTGGGGCTCTTGAAACGCAGACGCCAAGGTCTGTGCCTCGGTGCTGTCAGAGAGCTGCCAAGAGCCAGGAACCTGCACTCCACCTGGTACCTCAGGAGACTGCAGACATCTGCCTTCTCCTCCAGGTAAACTTACAAAGCTCCTTCCCACTTCCCATAGCGTCACGGTCTGCAGTGGTCCTACTGATGGGCTGGAGCTGCTGGGAAGGGCTGACCCCTCAGGAAGACCCTCAAGGGGCACAGGCAGCAGTTCCTGAGTTCCCAGGACAGTGGGTTTGAAGGCACCTCAGGTGCACCCTAGGTGGTGGCCTCTGCCCCCAGCTGTGACTCTGGGACACAGAGAGGTGACCTCCCCAGTGGCCCCTCTGATCCAGTCTGACTGAAGAGCATGTGGGTCTGAGCTCACCAACAAGGGGTTGTAGGCGCCGCAGGCCCCAAAAGCGTCCTCATCACGCAGGTACACTGGTCGGGACATTAGTCTCTCCAGCATGGAGACGTTCAGCCCGTAGGCCATGGCAAGTCTGGACTTGATGACTGGTCCCAGCTGCATGGGGTCTCCAGCCAGGACAATCTACAGCACGAATGGGGCAACTCTCAGCGTGTGTCTCACAGGTGAAGAAGGCAGACACAGCTGCCTGGGCCCCTGGTGTGTGGAGGGGCAGGGGCCAAGGCCGGGGTGGCCGCGGCGCACAGGCCTCACCTGGCCGCTGACGTCCGAGACCAGGCCCAGGGGGATGAGGCACTCGGGCTCGCTCGCCTGGCCCGCTTCATCCACAAACACGTGCGTGAAGTGTCCGACTCTGCAGCAGACACGTCCCAGGGTCACTCCGGCTCGAGTGTCCTGCCCACAAGGCCTGGGAGCCCAGGCACCTCCAACCCTCCCCCAGACCCCACGCTACCCTGCCCCCGCCCGGGAAGCCCCGGCCCAGGAACCCCCACCTCAAGCCTATCTGGTAGAACAGCCCTGCGCTGCTGCAGGTGGTGATGACCACCCTGAAGCGAGAGGCCTTCCAGACGTCTTCCCCGTCTCTGCAGTACGGCCTGAGGGCCTCTGTGATAGTCTGCGGGGAACAGGCCACCCTTAGGGTTACTGAGCGATTCTTTAAACTGGACATAATCACAAAGCTGAATGGAATTCTCAACAATAAGCCTGTCCTGCTGCCCCTTTTTATCTGGACTATGTAATGATGTAAGATTGTTTTCTTAAATCAAAACGTCTTACGTTTTCTCATCAACATAATCCAGGTCTTACAGATGCTAGAACCATGAATATAACAAGAGAATCCTGCAGATCCTTCCCCAAAACAACTGCACATGCTTTCTAACCTTTTTTGCTAACCAAACTGGAAACCTTTATAGCAAACCAACACAACAGAATCAAAAAGCAAGTACACATCTCGGGGAGGCAAGCAGGAGTGTCACTGCCTCACAGAGCTGGGGCTGCCCGGCCGCCATTGGACACCAGCATGGAAATGGCCCTCCTGGGGCCTCCTGCAGTGCGCACGAGGCTGGGGAGGGTGCTCACCTCCTCAAACCTGCAGGTGGCGTTCACGCGGACCATGGTGCCTGGACGCAGCGCCCGGCTCTCGTGAAGCCGCAGGCACACAAGGTCGGCCGCGCTGTTGGAGGGTGCACACACCAGGATCCGGCTGTCCGGCAGAGCATGGAAGACCTTCCCCAGGACACACGGAAGGCAAAGAGGGAATGGTCAGCAGCCAGCACCAAGCCCTGCCACGAGGGCTCTGGATGCAGACCTGCTGCCTGGCCCACGTCACCCCTCGTGGCCAAAGCCCTGACCCTGCCATCATGTCTCCCAGCCCCTTAACTGCCCGGCCGGGACCCTGGGAAACCTTGCACCAGGTCTGGGTGCCTGTGGGTCGACCTGGGTCCCCAGCGATGCAGGACACTGAACACACCCTCTCTTTCCACAAACTGTTTCGATCTAGATTGAGGCACCAGAAACATCTGCAGTTGACTGTTTTGAAATGAAGCAACTCCTTTCTAAACTGAGGACACCAGCTCTCAGAAGCCCTAAAGCCACATAGCAAACTGCTACATGAAAAGCAAATGAGATTTTCTAAGCTGTTTCCCATGCTCTGATCCCAAGGTCTGCACCAACACCTTCTGATGGCAGGAGCACAAGGCTACACCTCCCGAGACACTGCCTGGCTGTTACCTGCAGGATGGCCTCTATGATGGTCACCGTCTTCCCTGTCCCCGGAGGCCCGAAAAGCACGTAGGGGATTGGGCGGCAGTCTCCGCTCAGGATCCTCCTCACCGCCAGCTTCTGGTTCTCGTTGAGCATGGGGTTGAAAAACTCCTTTTCTCTCACCTTCGGGGATCCACTGACTGCGTCAGGGAGAGACGGTCAGTGGGTCACAGGCAGGGCCCCTCAAGATCTGCTCAGCGTCACTCACCAGGACAGCTGGCTGACTGCAAAAGCCCAGGCCACTCGCCCCTCCCCATTTCACTTGGGCAGCGTCACCGAGGTGTCAGATGTTGCGGTGACAGGTGGACAAGAACAGCCACCACCAAGGCCAGAGCGTGTGTCCCCCGGCAGCCCCAGACGTCTCCCCTCCAGGCCTGCAGGAGCCAGCCTGGTCCCAGACTCACCCAGCCTGCTGATATCTGTGGCGAAGGCCTGAGGCACTGGTGTGTTCTGGGCACCTGCCTGGTGCTCCTCTGGGGCTTGGTTAGTTTGGTCCTTCATGGCTTTCCTATTCTAGAAAAAAATCACACCAAAAAAATTGCTTAAAAAGAAAGCTTTGTGTTCACGCAGGCTTAAAGTGTGAATGTAAACAATCATCAAATGCTTGTTTTATTGACTTAACAGCTCTCTGCACAGATCACAGGTCAACCCTTTCAGATGTAACGAGAATGCAGAATATCTAATAAAAACTGCTAAAAAGGACTATATTCTCCTTGAGTCCAGGATGTCTGCTCTTCCCGTGGAGCCTGCTCATCTGCAAGGAGAACCCACCGGGGCTGACTGCAAGCGCAGCCCTTGCTCCTGGGGCCCCAGGTCCTCCTCTCCATGTGTGAAGGGGCCCGTGAGCTCGGCGAGGACTCGGCCCTGGGCAGACCCTCACCTGCCTCTCGGGTACGAGGCGGCCCTGGGGCTGCTCCCTCGTCTACTAGGTCAGGATCGTGCTGAGGAACTGGTTTTGCATGTGCTTAAACATAAACTGAATCTGACATGGACCAACATTACAACGTGGTAATGAACACCTCTGCACACACATGCTTGTGCAATCAACCTGATTACTTTCACAGCGTAAATTCCCAAAGTAAAATTTCTACACAGGTTTTCACACTGAAAAGTTTTTCTCTTTTATCAAATTTTAGTCCAAGACATCACAGCAATCCGCCCTCCCAGCATCATCTGTTTGACAGAGAACAGACACACAGTAAGGAGTAACTGGGCAGGTCTGGACACATGCACACCCGTAAACTCATCACCGCAAAAAAAAAGTAAGTCTGCCTCTCAGTCCCCAAGCACCTCCGTACACCCTCCTGCTGTTGCAGACTGATGTGCATCTTCCAGAAGGTTCTAGTCACAGAAGCGCACAGACGCAGGCTCTCTGACATCTCCACACAGCGCAACTGGAGATCTGGAGACCCCTTTGGGCTGTGTGTACACCGACGTTACCCTCTTCCTTGCTGAGAAGACATTCATGGTGAGAACAAACTGACTGCTGGCCTACTGTCCTTGGATGGACAGAGATTGTTTCTGAGTTTGAGCCACTGCAAGGGAGGCTGCAGCGCACGTGCTCCCACCACCCTTGGGGAGACGCCTGCACTACAGGCTGCGGGTGATCTCCTGCTCAAGCGCTCATCTTCTGTCCAGTCAGGTCTGTGTTCCCACCAGCGAGCGCAGTGAGGCTCCCATGGCCCCACAGTGCAGCCACACTAACAGGTGTGTGGTGGGGTCTCACTGTGGCTGTGTGTTTCTGTAACAACTAACACCGAGCATCTTCTCATGGTCATGTCACCTGTACGTGGTTCATCTGTACAACATCTGCTCAGGTACTGGTTCATTAAAAATTTTTTTTACTATTCAATTTTCAAAATTCTTCAATATGTAGTCTTGATACAAATGTTTTATCAGATAATGTGATTTGCAAATATTTTCAGTCTGTCACTTGTCTTTTCATTGTCTTGTGTCTTTAAAAAAAATTTATTTATTTGGCTGTGCTGGATTGTGGCATGCAAACTCTTAGTTGCAGCATGTGGAATCTTAGTTCCCTGACTGGGGATCAAACCCAGGCCCCCTGCATTGGGAGCAGAGAATCTTAACCACTGGACTACCAGGGAAGTCCTGTGCAACGCTTTTTATGTTCTTTTTGTGTTTAACAGTGAGAACAAAAAAACTTACTGGAATATGAATATCAGAGCTGAATGAGTATACCTCTAATGGAGATAAGGGGGTATTTTCACAGAAGCAGTATCTTTCCCAAACCCATCTCCACTTGAAGTTGATCAAAACACACCACTGGCCATTTAGTGAAAACGCTGCCTCCTCCACGAGGCACACACTGGCTCTGGCTCTGGGCCCCCCGACCTGGGAGCTCTGAAGGCTGGTAGCAGGGGCTGGGGTGACCACAGTGGCCGCTCCTTGTTTCTTCTCTCAGGAATCACTGATCAAGCTCTGAACCTGTTGCTTCATGTATTCTGATTTTTAATCATTTAGGTGGGAAGGTAAAACCACTCCCTGCAATTCCACCTTGGCTGGGTGCTTTGTCTGCAACCTGGCTAATCTGTAACAGGACAATGCTCTACATTTAAAGTGCTAAGATTCAGCTCATTAGGACTGTGATCCACTAAAACAGCAATACTTCCTGAGAATCGGGCAGTGGGATGGGCCAGGAAATGAGGTGAAAACACAGTTTTGAAGATGACATTGCATCTTTGTTCAATGAAGACCTCTTTCTATTTTTCAGAGCAAAAGTGAGTTCAGGTACCAGTTACACGGCAGATGATTTTAATGCAAACCTTTAGAGAATTCTCTCTGTGGTTGTGCAGGCATTCTAAAGCTATCATTTCTCCATTTTTGGAGAAGGGCTACAAAGAAGTAAAAAGGTTTATACATGTCAGATATAATTAAAAAATCTGTATTTACTATAAAGTCAAAGCATGCTCAAAAAACCAAATTCCAACAGCACAGAATTATAAGTTACGAGCTGTAGCCTGTGGCATGAAGGGTTTTTCTTGTTGAAGGAAATACAATGATAAATAAAACCATTTCTATTTTACTCTTGAAAACAAAACGTAGAGCCTAGAACAATATCTGGCACATAATACGTATTAACGGACCCACTGATTGTACATTAAAAAATACCCTGGTAACCTGAACAAAGATCACAAAAGAATAATGTTCTTGGTGTGCAGCACTTTCGGAGGTCTTCTATGCATGTGTAATGATAAAAACGTGCCTGAGTGTACACAAAAACCATGTAACTTAAAAATAAAAGTACGGAGCAAAGATTAAATAAACTAAAAGCTGGTTCTTTGAGAAGATAAACAAAACTGACAAACCACTAGCCAGACTCATCAAGAAAAAAAAGGGAGGAAAACGAAATCAATAAAATTAGAAATTAAAAAGGAGAGGTTATAACAGACAACACAGAAATACAAAGGATCATGAGAGAATATTATGAGCAACTATATGCTAGTAAAATGGACAACTCAGAGGAAATGGACAGGTACTTAGAAAAAATCAACCTCCCAAGACTAAACCAGGAAGAAACAGAAATTATGAACAACCCAATTACAAACACTGAAATCGAAACAGTGATCAAAAATCTTCCCCCGAAACAAAAGCCCAGGGCCAATGGCTTCACAGGGGAATTCTATCAAACATTCAGAGAAGAGCTAATGCCTATTTTTCTGAAACTCTTCCAAAAAATTGCAGAGGATGGAACACTTCCAAACTCATTCTTTGAGGCCACAATTACCCTGATACTAAAACCAGGTAAAGACAACACAAAAAAAGAAAAGTACAGGCCATATCCCTGATGAACATAGATGCAAAAATCCTCAACAAATTCTAGCAAACAGAATTTTTAAACAGAACACATTAAAAAGCTCATACATGATTGAGTCAGGTTTATTCCAGGGATGCAAGGATTCTTCAATATATGCACATCAATCAACGTGATACACTGTATCAACAAATTGAAAGATTAAAAACCATATGATCATCTCAATAGATGCACAAAAAGCCTTTGACAAAATTCAGCATCCATTTATGATAAAAACACTCCAAAAAATAGGTACAGAAGGAACCTACCTCAACATGGTAAAGGCCATATATGAAAAGCCCACAGCAAACATTATTCTCAATGGTGAAAAACTAAAAGCACTCCCTCTAAGATAAGGAACAAGACAAGGGTGTCCACTCTTACCACAATTATTTCACATAGTCTTGGAAGTCCTAGCTATGACAATTAGAGAAGAAAAAGAAATAAAAGGAATCCGGATCGGAGAAGTAAAAGTTTTGTGCTTTTCTGTCACACATGAACAAGAATCAGCCACAGGCACACCCATGTCCCCTCCCTCCCATCTCCCTCCCCATCCCACCCTCCCGCCTGTGGCAGAGCCCCTGATTCAGTTCCCTGAGTCATACAGTGAATTCCCATTGCCTATCTAGCTCATATCTGGTATTGTGAATTTCCATGTTACTCCCTCCGTACATCTCCTCTTCTCTGTCCTCTCCTCCCACCGTGTCCATAGGTCTGTTCTCTGTCTGTTTCTCCACTGCTGCCCTGAAAATAAATTCATCAGTGTCATCTCTTCAGATTCCATATATAGGTGTCAGCATACGATATTTATATTTCTCTTTCTGACTTACTACTTCACTCTGTATAATAGGCTCTAGTTTCATCCACCTCATTAGAACAGATTCAAATGCGTTCCCTTTTATGGCTACGTAGTATTCCATTGTATATATGTACCACAGCTTCTTTATCCATTCATCTGTCGACGGACGTCTAAGTTGCTTCCATGTTGTAGCCATTGCAGACAGTGCTGGAATGAATATTGGGATTCATGTGTCTTTTTCAGTTTTGATTTCCTCAGGATATATGCCTAGGAGTGGGATTGCTGGGTCATATGGTGGTTTTATTCCTAGTTTTTTAAGGAGTCTCCACACCATCTTCCATCACTTTACATTCCCACCAGCAATGCAAGAGTGTTCCCTTTCTCCACACTCTCTCCAGCATTAATTGCTTGTAGACTTCTTGATGATGCCCATGCTGACTGGTGTGAGGTGGTATCTCATTGTGGTTTTGATTTGCATTTCCCTAATAATGACTGACGTTGAGCATCTTTCCATGTGCTTGTTAGCCATCTGTATGCCTTCTTTGGAGAAATGTCTCTTCAGGTCCCTTTCCCACCTTTTGATTCGGATGTTTGCTTTTCTGTTATTGAGTTGTATGAGCTGGTTCTGTATTTTGGAAATTAATTCTTTGTCACTTGTTTCTTTTGCTGTTATTTTCTCCCACTCTGAGGGTTGTCTTTTCACCTTGTGTGTGGTTTCCTTTGCTGTGCAAAAGCTTTTAAGTTTAATTAGGTACCACTTGTTTATTTTTGTTTACATTTCCATTACTCTAGGAGATGGGTCACAGAAGATCTTGCTTTGATTCATGTCGTCGAGTGTTCTGCCTACATTCTCCGCGAAGAGTTTAATAGTTTCTGGTTTTGCATTTAGGTCTTTAACCCATT